TGGCATCTAACGTTTTCAGCTCGTACTACTGACCTGCCTTGGAGGTCGAGGTAACTACGGGCTGCCCATGACTTAAGTTATCTCAAAAAGGAAGCAGTCTCAGGTTTGGAACTACCTTTTTGCATAAACTTTAAATGAGCACAACCCGAGTACGTACGCCGGATAAGGTTGACGGGTTTATTCTTACATCTACTAACTCCTATGTGTTATAGGTATGGTGTTGTTGGCAAAGGGAAGGTCTTTATCATCTGCAGGTTCCGGAAGCAAAGGTAGTTTTCTTGTGCTTTAGCAATTAACTGAACGAGCAAGCGGAATTCGTAGGTTAACAAAAGTGCACTTATGGAAGTAAACTTATAACCAGAGAGTAGTAGTATATAAGAACTTCAACGATAGCTGAAGGAAAATCTAAACTTGATAGACGCTTTTAAAAATCCATTGTTGGTTTCAAACCTATTCATTGGAATACATAGGAAGCATGGATCTGAAGTAGTCCACCCGGGTGACGTAACCTACTGAAAGACGCTTGCATGTTTTGTTCCCTGTTCTCCGGCATAGCTGCGAGTTCACCGGGTCTACTGAGGATATTGCTAAATGGCGAACATAGTGCTGACTGGTGATTGAATAAGATTAGGATGGTGAAGGCTTTTGCGGCATTGGTATTCCTTCTATTCTCATTTCATTAATGCCTAGTTTACAGAGCTCACTCGACTTGAGAGGTAATGCTGTTTGAAGCAAGCGAAAGCGGCAGAATTTATTTGTACAAATAAATTTCAGGGGAACGACCAGGGCTGCTGAAACTTTGCCTGCTTGGCTTTGAAAACTAGAGTGCAAAATGCCACGGTCCTCCGTTACAGAACACGTATCAGATAGTGGTCAGTCCTCTGAGATCAAAACATTTTTCCGAGTTCTTTTTTGGGCCCAAACGCACCGGACCTTCCACTACATGGAAACATCCTATATGCCGCGGGAGGAACTCGACCTATATAAGCAGCTAGACCATGTGGTTAATCTTTAACTGCCCTGGTAAATGCAGGCCACAATTAATCAACCTTTTATTTTTGTTAATTCCCGTTCCTTATTTTCTTTCCGAAGCTTAAAGATGACATAACTATTGATAACTCCCGAGTTTAAATTACCTTGCTATTATTGATTCTATGAAAATTCAAAATTCTATGTTCTGCTATTGTGACGTTATTCATTCAAAGTGAGGAAGCAGTTGACAAGCTCTCCCGAAACATATTTGTACAAACAAATTCTGCTATTTTCGCTGGCTTCAAATTTGTACTTGGGAAAAATGTCTACAGTTAATGCTGTGTTTTCAACACGCATTGTGCACCTACGGTTTGTGAGATACAGGCTATTATTGCTTAATGAAGTCCTTATTTTTACATAATGTCCTTCATAAGAACAAAGGCGACCTTAAGGTCATGCGCCTAGGCTTCGTGTATTTATTTGTCCCTGGCGGGCGGAAATGGGGGACTGAGCTGGAGCATGATACCGCCCCCTGAATATTCAAAAAGGCTGGCTGCTCATTCACGTCTTCCAGCATATTCCTCCTTCAGTGACCCAAAGTCTTCTATTCGTTTTGGTTGTCGCACGCGGCTAGCGGCCCATTTGAGCTCAACAGGTCTCAGTCAGGGGCTTACTTCCTCGTTCTACCTATATAGGGTACGGTCTGGCTGTTCGAACGTTAAAAGGTATCAATTACCATCACTAAATATACTCATACAGGTAGCACATTAACGACATTCGAGTAATAATTGCTATTTTGTGTAGGAATGAATAAGGACGTACATAGTAAGCACCGGTTTTAGTTTTGAAACACATGCCACTTCTCAAAATGCTAGGTTCAGCAGTTCAGTTTTTAAAATGTATGACTTAAAATTCGCGCGATCTTAGTAAATCGAATATATATTTTCTGCTTCCTGAGATGTTTGATTACGTTCCTTTGAGTCAAATTTCGCCTGACTTCCCTGTGTAGTTCACCTAATGGGTTTGAGAATGATGACCCACTAGGTACACAACAAGACTTCCACAATGACTATTTTTATAAAACATAACGGAATGACGTAACGGAAACAAATGTTTTTATTTTTAAGGCTCATTAAAAATTGCTTCATTTGTTTGTTGATCGCGGACAGGAATACTTGAGCCGCCACCGAGGGGACACTTAATGGCATCTGCGTCCGTTGGTGGGTTCGCCGCACTGAAGGCAAATTTCGCCTGAAATAGTGATGGAGAGCATGTTCAGTTCCACAAAAGTATTCGCAAAATATCTACTACAAAAAAGTAGTGAAGTCTCCCTACCTGGTGGACGTATGCGAGGGCAGTTTGTAGCTGCAAATTAAGTCAAATAAATCATAGAGGTAGTAGGCAGTTTTTTTGAAGATTACAAAAAACAATTAAATAGCAAAAGTATACAAAGGTTCGAACAGTTTTTCGTTTTCAATGAACTGAAATACCTACTGAAGTACGCATTTACGAAAAGGACATCTGTAAACATCATGAAGAAGTTTGCGTTTTGGTAACGTAGCAATCCGGAAATTGGAACCTACGTTGCAACATGGCAACATGTTTGCAACCAAGTCTTCTGAACGTAATACCAGGGCAGGAGCTAGGGTCCACATGTGCGCACATGTTTGATCGTCACAAATACGATTCCACTGATAAGTACAGATAATATGTCAAGATTTCGGCTAAGTATTTAGATGCAGCGTTGGCTTTCCCTAGGGGAAAGCACACTGAGTATTTATATTTCTCAAACTATCTTTTAGTCTCAGTTAACTTTTCTTTCAAAATGTACTAACACCTTTACATTTGATAATTCTTAGGGCTTATTTATAAATTGTTGTCCAGATTTTTTGCCTACTTTGTCAAAGTACATGCACTGAATATGGACTAACGTTCAAAATAAAAAGGTACTATTATTCTTCTCCCATATGAAGCCTAACAAAACATTGACAATAGGCAGTGCGTTTTCAGACTTGACACTTCTCATAACGCTTTTAGGAGGGGCTAGTTCTTTTAACAATTGCGACAACATACCAAAAAAAATAAAACAGCTTATATTAAAAGAACGTCAAATCTTACCAGGGTCTTTAAAGAGCTTATCTTTGCAGGTCTTTCGGGGTAAACACTTGGGTTCTAAGATAAAAGATAGGCGGTTAGGTATGCAATTGCAGCTGAATGTGACTCCAAACATGGAGCCAAACGCAGCTTTCGTCTAGTCTCGGAACCTAGTTCCGCATCACGTTGGAGGTACACTTACTTGGCGGTGGGAAACCAAACCTCCGGCATGCCGCAGCTTCACTATCGGAACTGTCAGATGAAGAGGACGATGAGGAAGACGATGAGGAAGACGAGGAGGAGGACGAAGACGAAGAAGAAGACGAACAGCAGGAGGAGTCACTATCGCTGTCGCTATCACTATCACAGCCTAAATAAGGATAATAAAGACATTAGTGCACATAGAGTTTAATCGGCTTGGGAACAAGTCAACTAATTTGAAGGTAAAACTAACGCTTTCTGCGTCTGGAATCGTCTGTGCGTCTCGTTGAAGCACTACGCGGCTTGTGCTTTTCCGCCAGTTTCAGACAGAATGTCTTTGCATCTAATAACAACACACCATCTTCTCCTTCAGAGTT